AGAAACGAAATTAAGAAAGTGATTACTCCAAAAGATATTAGATACCATGAATATATGGGAGATAGTATTGAAGATGATTTTGATGATGAGATTAAGTTTTAATAGTTGGATAAAGAGAATTATGGCTTTTAAGTTAAGTATTAGAAAAATAAAAGAATTGATAGATGATGGTTATTATGCACATGCTTTTTTAGAACTCATGAGAAATAGAATAAAATGGAAAGAATGGACAGAGAATTATATTCCATATTACTTAGTAGAATATTTAGGTGAAGATAAAGTCATAGCTTTATGGGAAGCTTTAAACACAACTAAATCCTATTGGAGATATGAAGGTAATGGAATTAAGAAAAAATGGCCATGTACAACAGTACAGTTAGATGATTCTACGTCTTCTATAAAAAGATTATATTTAGAAGAAGCGATAGAAACAGCATATAACTATGTAGTTGGTCAAGAAAGAGTGGAGGTCATTAAATGATACTCCGAGAAAGACAGCAGGAATTTGTAGATAAATCAATTGCAGCACTAGGTGTATATAATGATACTTTAAGCGTTGCACCTACAGGCTTTGGCAAAACTATAGTATTATCATCTATACTAGGTAAGATAATCGAAGCAAATAACTCTACTAAAGCATGTGTACTTGCACATAGGGATGAGTTGACTTATCAGAATCAAGATAAATTCCTTAAGATAAATCCAGAAATTAATACATCACTCGTTAATGCTAATACAAAGGATTGGGATGGGCAGGTTAACTTTGCAATGGTGCAAACTTTAAGTAGAGAGAAAACTTTAAACTCTATGCCTAAGCTAGATATACTAGTTATTGATGAAGCGCATCACTCTACTGCTAAAACATATCGAACAATTATCAATAAAGCAAAAGAACTTAATCCTAATTTAAAACTGCTTGGAGTTACTGCCACACCAGCTAGAGGTGATAAGAATGGTTTAGGAAGAGTGTTCTCTAACTGTGCAATGCAAGTAAAGCTTGGAGATGTGATCGGTGATGGTCATCTCGTTATGCCTAGAACCTTTATTATAGATGTAGGTATACAAGACAAATTAAAAGAACTGCATAAGAGAACAAAAGGTGAATACGATGAAGAAGAAGTTGAAGCCATTATGAATGTTGAGCCAGTAAATGAAGCAGTAGTAGAGCATTGGAAAGAAAAAGCTGGTGATAGAAAGACAGTTGTATTTTGCTCA